GAGGGTCTGTCATCAGCCTGGGGCTGAACACTCTGGGGACTCTGATTTCTCTCTTTATGTTTCTATAGATGACACTCCCATCCCCCTACCTCCCCAACTCTGAAAACAGCTTCTAAGACCTGAATTACAGACCATCATTTTAATCGGACAAACTGCAACCAAAATAAGTTTCTCTTGGGGGTCAGAATGGCCACTCAAGGCAGAGGAACTCTAGGACCTCATCACTAGGGGTGCTGTTCTCCAGAAGCAGGAGGGGTGCCTGCCGGTGAAGCAGGAGCCAGGGAGCCAGACCTGGGGACAGAGCTGCAGTCTCCAAAAGAATCACCCTCCCGTCTGTGAAATTTTCCGGCTGCACTTCAGGCAGTTATGTTATCACGAGATGTCTGGACCACAGGAGGCACTGAGCCGGCTCCGGGAGCTCTGCCGCTGGTGGCTGATGCCAGAGGTGCACACTAAAGAGCAGATCCTGGAGCTGCTGGTGCTGGAGCAGTTCCTGAGCATCCTACCCGGGGAGCTCCGGACCTGGGTGCAGCTGCATCACCCTGAGAGTGGGGAGGAGGCTGTGGCTGTAGTGGAGGATTTCCAGCGACACATCAGTGGACCAGGAGAGGTGAGCAGTTGAGTCTAGAATGGCATCTGGAACCATTCTTTACTGCTTGATGTAGCCTGGGAATAGGCATTCTCCATTCCTGAGGCTCTAGGCTGGTTTGCCTTTAGAATTCCCGAGCCATTTCCATGTATAAAAGGGAAAGAGTTGTGTGCTCCCAGCCTTCAACAAAAATGCAGATCCCAGCCAAGCTGTGTGGATTACTTTGTGCATACTATGTCAAGAACCTAGCTTCAGCCTGGAAATCCACACAGAGCTCCTGACAGGCAGAGGATCTGCACTGGTTAGAGTGGGGGAGCATGGTGGGGAGAGGTAGACTTTTGGGTATGCTGACAGCATGGGCCCTCATCTGAGAAGTTCTCATTACTCACTTCCTCGGACGTCTCAGTCAATTTGCTCTTTTCCTGCCTTTTAGGTTCCTTTTGTGGGGTGACATTTCTGGGCCTCATCATTATTTGTTCCTTTTCTAGTCTTCCAAACCCAACTGGGATCTTTTTACTGCTTTAATTCTAATTTTGATTTTCCATATTTTCTGGGGTTTTCTCAAATTTTAAGCCAGGGTAACTCAAATTAGGGGAGAAGCTGGAGAGTCAGAAGTGTGATGACAGTGGGAAATCTGGCTTCTAGGATCACAGAGCTAACTGCCCAGTGACCATGTGTGTTGGGCAGGGTACAGCCAGAGAAGTAAAACCAGTATGAAATTATATATATTGTTAGAAAGTGGCTTATGTGATTGTGAGAGCTGGCAAGTCAAGTTAGAAATTTATAGGGCAGGCTGTCAGGAAGGACAGGCTAGAACTCTTGGACGCAGGCTGAAGCTGCTGTCCATAGGCAGAATTTCTTCATGGAACTTTCAGCTCTGATTTTAAGGGCTTATAACTGATTGAATCAGGCCCATTCAGATTATTTAGGATAACTTCCTTTACTTAAAGTAAGCTGATTATGGATTTTAATCAGTTGTACAAAATACCATCACAGCAACACCTATATTGACATCAAAAGACCATCACACCATGGATGAGTCATTTCTTCCCAATGAGTCTCCAATTGCTTCCTTGTAACTGAGCCGGATGGATCAGGGTCCCCTCTACTTTTACTCCGTTGTGCTTTACCAAGGAGAATGTGGAATGTACATGAAATTTCCTGAGTACCCAGCACATCATTTTATTCAGTGCTTTTTGAAAAATGTTGATACCCATGCCTAGGGAATCAGTTCTACTGGATTAAAGTCATAGAGCTAGACATTTTTCCAGGAGTATCAGCCAATGCCCGTTTGGCAGTATCAACTCTATTGTCAGCCTTTGTTTCTTTGTGTAAACAGGTAAACACAGGAATACATTAACCATCCCCAGGGGCTAGAGAGCAACCAAGCCCAACCATAGGCAAAGACAAGTGGCTGAGGAAGTGTTCAGAGTGCTATTTAATGAGGAGGGTAGAAGAAAAATTTCTCTATATCCTACCTTCTTTTGCTTAAGCAGAAGGGAACGTTCCCTCCATTAAAACTGTCTTTTATCCAGGGAGCCTCAGAAAAAGGTGACTGAGTCACAAACCCAAGAGAGTGACTAAGAGTTGATGGTCAGGGCAGCTAAACACTCAGGGAGTCTTTGGACTCCATTTCTTACTCTGCCACTGTCATTAGCTCAAGTTTTTGGACGTGAAGACAGGAGCACAGGACTGTCTCACTTAGCCAGGCTCAGAAAATGTTTTTATGACTAAATGAAGAGACCAGCTTTTTCATGGCAGTTTGCCAAGAGGAGATTAAGGAATGTGATTCTGTTGAGCAGGAGTGAGCATGTGCACGTGTGCACACTGGGACTGGAGAGTGTGGTAGTGTCATCCCAGCTGGGCTGCAGAATCATGCAGTTTGCAAAATGCTTTTACATCTTTTTTAATTTCAGCAGGCTTACAAGGTATGCAAATAGGAATCATTATCTCCACTTGACAGGCACTGCAAGTGCAGAAAGGTTAATTGACTCATCTGAGATAACAGAGCTAGGAAGCATTCCCTCTATCCACATGTGTGGGAACCAGGATTTTCCGTCTCCCTAGATTCTAAGCCACTACCGTTTCCCTAGTGTCTGGCTGTGGTATGCCATCTTGCAATGAAAATTGGAATGGACTTTTCCTGCCTGCGAGGTAAAGACACCTGTTTAGTCCTAGATAATAAACAGGAACTCTATCAGGATTTAGGCTTTGGTGAGTTACAAGGTTGTATTATCACACTGCAGTTAAGTTCTGTCTTCCGCCAGTACCCACAGCTGCTGTATTTAAGAGCTCTAAGTCCCACTTATAAGAACCATCCAGTGAAGAGCCTGGGAACCACAGACTCCATGAGCCTCCTGGTCCTACCACTCCACTGGAGAGATGTACACTAAAGGAGAGAGCCCCCTCACTTATCAGCAGATGTAATCCAACAGGGCAAATGCAGTGTGTTTTGTTGAAGCAGAAGTTATTTTCACCTTATGCTGTGCTATGTACGTGCCAGAGTGAGCGAGCTTATAATGTGATTTATTTAGATAAAGTTTTAAGTTTTCTGTTCCAAATGCTGGTAAAAGTAGTAACCATGAGATTGTGAAGAGCTGATTTGATGACAACAAGCAAGGGTTAGAAATAAAAGGTCTATGCTCTGAGGTATTCTCAAGGTCTCTAAAGTTTGGTGATATCTGATCTCATTTGACTTGATAAAAATTTGGGGGAAGAAGTAGTACATATTGAAAACCTCGTCTGCAGATATCTCTTAGCAAAATAGTGAGAGGAAGTCAGTCAGCAAGTATTAACACTGACATTGGGCAAAGCATTGTTGTAGGAGCTAGTGATCAAGGCAGAGTTCTCACCCTCAAAAAGCTTACATTGCATCAGGGGAGAAATAGACAGTAAAGGAAGAAGTAAGGTAATTTAAAGATGAACACATGCTATAGAAGATATAATCAAGTACTTGGAGAGAAAATGACTGTCCTTGCCTTGTCAGTGTGGTCAGGGATGGCTCCTCTGAAGAGGAAACACTTCTGCTGAGAGAAGTTGGAAAAACTCTCTGAGGTTTGTCAGCCTCTGTTCCGGGATATTGCTCCAGCTCTCAGCCTCAGTAACAGTATTGGTACACAGACAGGTACACACACCTATCACTTTTTTACTTCCTTGGTACTTTTAATTGGTTTCTTCTGTAGGCTAAGGCCCTAGGGAGTGTACTGAATTAACTCTCCTGGCTCCTTTTTCTAGATGGTTCTAAATAAGCAAATGTGTGTCTGAAGAATTGTCACAGAGTGGAAATGGTTATTTAATCTGGTCTTCAGGCTCCTACCGAGAGGGTCAACAGAGGGATGGCAAGTAGGACTGCAAGCTGTGGTTCCTGCTTTGACAGTTTCCCCCTAGTTGGCTGTACTGGTGGGGCTAGAAGAACCCTCTGGCTCTTCTTTGCCCTGGCTTCCTCTCTTGGGGGGTACTTCTTAGAGGTTTTGGGTTCGGTACCTCCAAGGATGCTCTTTTGACCCAATTATAATTCCTTGTCTCTAGGTTTCAGCTCCAGCACAGGAACAGGAAATGCATTTGGAGGAGATGACAACCTTGAGTGTAACAGCGGAATCTCCTCCTGCCTCTCCCCTCAGTGAGGGTTCAGCCCCTGGAGCCCACCTGGAGCCTCCACATGACCCAGGGGCACACCACCTCCCCAGCGGGTGCTCTGGTACTCACCTCCCCAGCTCTGGCCTTCAGTCATCCCGCCTTTCTCCCCTCTGGAGTCTCCTTTCCTTCATCTCCCCATCTCCTGCCCCATTGGAGTCCCTCATTGCCCTGCCCCATGTCTTCCTTACCTAGTGACTTAATTCCTTTTGCTTATTCTGCAATCATTCATGTATTCAGCAAATGTTTGTCAAGCACATTTCATGGGAAAAACAGTGTTGGGGACCAGAGAAAGATAATACACTCTCCCTGCTTTCAAAGAGCTTGTTATCTAGTTGGCAGAGTTGGTCATAAGTGCAAGAAGAGGCAACCTCATAAGGTTCGTGTGAGTGATCTCTGTCCTCAGGCACTTGCTGCCATCACAAATGAGCAACGTGGACATTGTAAACAGTGAGTGAGATCATTGAGGGATGGAGTGGCAGAGGATGCTTCATGGAGGAGATTAGCAGTGGGATTGGACAGTGAAAACAAAGGGAGGAATTTGAGGGGGAGAGAGAGGTGGTAGGGGCCAGAGCAGAGGATATAAGCAGACTCACTAAGATTCCTTGGACCCCACTGAGGTGGTATCAGGGAGGACTGAATTTGGGAGCCTGGGGTCTGCTTATACAGGACCTTTGTGTGGAATCTAGGAAGACATGGGGACAGGAGAATGAAGTATCAGAAACAGTATCTCAGAAGACTCAGTGGGCACAGGAGAGCCCTGTGGATGGAGTAGGGAGGCCAGGAGCCAGGAGCCTCCGTAGGACACTAGTGCCGGAGAACAGATGAGGTAATTGCCTGAGTGGGTTTGAATGGAACGGAAAGCGATAGATGTGGCTGACATTTGAGGGAAGAATCCAATGGGATAACGAAAGGAGGGGAGTTAGAGGGTTATGACCAGTATTTGGAATCACTGAGAAAACTTGAGAAGTCAGGAAAGGAAAACGGAACCATGCATTTCACACACTGAATTTAAGGTATTGTAGGACACCCAGGTGAAATCTCCAACAGTCAACTGGAGGTTTGTGATTCAGAGACTGAGAGTCGTAACGCCTGTGACAGAGGGAAAGGGAGGCTCTGAGGCCTCAGCCCCTGCAGTGTCCATAACCAGGGGCGGGGGGAACAGAAGCCAGGAATGCGGGGCAGAGAGGTGAGGGGCAGGCAGGAGGCCAGTGCTGGGGAAGCCATGGGAGAGCAAGTGGTCAGAAGTGTAGCTTCCTTCCAGAGTCGCAGAGAGACAGTGGGAAGGAGCACCCCTTCTGTTTGACCAGGGACCTTCTGTGCCTCCA